CACAGATAAAAGGGAAATATAATGTTCAGAAGTGGTATTTGCGAAAATACCAGCTGAGAGAACGTTTAAACTCCTGTGTTGTTAGGCGACGAATATTTCTTCTAAAGACTAGTAATTATTTCATGTTTCTATAAGGCCTTCACTTCATAATCATAGATGTGTATTAAAATCATAAATGGTACACATTTTACTGTGCTAAATGCGCATTTCAACAATTACCGTCTCTGCAGCGATGTGCGATGCCACAATATTTGAAATGAGCGACCAAAATACAAATTTTTATACAAAAGAAAAAGATCAAAAAGTAAAGCCCGACCCGGACAAGGGTACACTTTGAATTAAGGAGATACATTCGTTAATTAACAATTATTTCTAAGATTTATAACAAGTTCCAATATAACGACATCCGTATGATCTTGTGAATAGAGAAGTACTGAACTACAGGGCTACTGATACTTTCGGGAACTAACAGTCCACCAACCAACAGCAGATATATCGTTTAACTGGTAGTAATAAATTTAACGTTACAAATTGTACTGCACCAAAAGCGCATTTGACAGTTACTGTGTCTTCAGTTTTGATAGAAGCCAAATATTTCGAACAAACAACACCTACTAAAAATTTCAAGAGGAAATATAACCGTAAAGGTCAAAAATGTATAGTCAAATTCGGACAACAGATTTGCACGAGTGAGTATCCAATCTTTAATTTAGAATTGTCCTTTTATATTTTTTTTTAAATTATAGAGAATCTAAGGTTTCCAAACCCTCAGGCAAAATTCACCACAGATGGATTTGGCTATTTTTTTAGATCCTTTTTGATCATATACCTCTTTAACTGTTTCGGTTTATATACATCATTGGCTTTCAAATATTCGGCATTGAACATTCCTGATGAAGGTAAATCCAGAAAAGCGCTTCGGATGCACGAAATTTTTAACGTGTTGTTTTTATAAGACTTATAAGTACAAATTTCAATTAAACAGTATTAGTTTCTTCATTCCAGTAGAGAATTCCTGAGCTACTAGACTAATGATACTCTGGAGGGACTAGCTGTTCTCCGTCCACCAGCAGCTCATTCGACCCACTGAAAGTAATAACTTTAACGGTTTCAATTTTACTGCCCCAGATGCGCATTTCGACAATAACTGTCGTTTTAGTTATGATAGAAGCCATAATATTTTGAATATCCAAAACCTCATAACACCATTCGAGAGTTAATATATACTAAAAAGGCCAACGGTATAGTCAAACCTGAACAAAATCCTTGCAAGAGGGAGATACGTTCCTTAATTAAAAATGATTTATAAGAGCAAATTTCAATAAAACAATGTCTGTTTATTCATGCCAAGAGAAGATATCTCTGGGACATACCTGACCATGCATGTTTGATCTAAATGTGGGTTTGAAAAAGACAATATCTTGATATATGTCATTGATATAGGGACCGAAGCGCATGAAAGACAATGAGACTTCTTAATTAATATATGCATATGGTGAACAACTGCTTACACTTTATGACAAGCTGTAAATCACCTAAATCAAAAAACGTTGAGGATATTTGTAGTTATTTTACATAGACTTGTTAACAACACCAAGTGTAATTTAACACAAAACATATCATAGACATATAAAACATATACCCCTGACGCGATTCATAATGTATGTTTTGCACAAGGACATGTGTGTAAACTTATTTGTAACGTTCTTCCTCATTTTTGATTAAGACCAATGATTCAACAACAAATAGATAAAATGACTGACTACAGAAAACGCTACCCTGTGACAGAACAATCAAATCCATTATAAAGATTACCGTGTCAAAAGTGACAGATCCTCAAAACAACCTAAGAGTACTTAGCCTCTTGAATTGACTTGTTACTAATAGCAAAAGAGAAACAGGGATAAACATAAAACTTACTGGACAATGAATATATAATCAGGTAAACATTGGCAAACAAATATGTATACCTCACAGATAAAAGGGAAATATAATGTTCAGAAGTGGTATTTGCGAAAATACCAGCTGAGAGAACGTTTAAACTCCTGTGTTGTTAGGCGACGAATATTTCTTCTAAAGACTAGTAATTATTTCATGTTTCTATAAGGCCTTCACTTCATAATCATAGATGTGTATTAAAATCATAAATGGTACACATTTTACTGTGCTAAATGCGCATTTCAACAATTACCGTCTCTGCAGCGATGTGCGATGCCACAATATTTGAAATGAGCGACCAAAATACAAATTTTTATACAAAAGAAAAAGATCAAAAAGTAAAGCCCGACCCGGACAAGGGTACACTTTGAATTAAGGAGATACATTCGTTAATTAACAATTATTTCTAAGATTTATAACAAGTTCCAATATAACGACATCCGTATGATCTTGTGAATAGAGAAGTACTGAACTACAGGGCTACTGATACTTTCGGGAACTAACAGTCCACCAACCAACAGCAGATATATCGTTTAACTGGTAGTAATAAATTTAACGTTACAAATTGTACTGCACCAAAAGCGCATTTGACAGTTACTGTGTCTTCAGTTTTGATAGAAGCCAAATATTTCGAACAAACAACACCTACTAAAAATTTCAAGAGGAAATATAACCGTAAAGGTCAAAAATGTATAGTCAAATTCGGACAACAGATTTGCACGAGTGAGTATCCAATCTTCAATTTAGAATTGTCCTTTTATATTTTTTTTTAAATTATAGAGAATCTAAGGTTTCCAAACCCTCAGGCAAAATTCACCACAGATGGATTTGGCTATTTTTTAGATCCTTTTTGATCATATACCTCTTTAACTGTTTCGGTTTATATACATCATTGGCTTTCAAATATTCGGCATTGAACATTCCTGATGAAGGTAAATCCAGAAAAGCGCTTCGGATGCACGAAATTTTTAACGTGTTGTTTTTATAAGACTTATAAGTACAAATTTCAATTAAACAGTATTAGTTTCTTCATTCCAGTAGAGAATTCCTGAGCTACTAGACTAATGATACTCTGGAGGGACTAGCTGTTCTCCGTCCACCAGCAGCTCATTCGACCCACTGAAAGTAATAACTTTAACGGTTTCAATTTTACTGCCCCAGATGCGCATTTCGACAATAACTGTCGTTTTAGTTATGATAGAAGCCATAATATTTTGAATATCCAAAACCTCATAACACCATTCGAGAGTTAATATATACTAAAAAGGCCAACGGTATAGTCAAACCTGAACAAAATCCTTGCAAGAGGGAGATACGTTCCTTAATTAAAAATGATTTATAAGAGCAAACTTTAATAAAACAATGTCTGTTTATTCATGCCAAGAGAAGATATCTCTGGGACATACCTGACCATGCATGTTTGATCTAAATGTGGGTTTGAAAACGACAATATCTTGATATACGTCATTGATATAGGGACCGAAGCGCATGAAAGACAATGAGACTTCTTAATTAATATATGCATATGGTGAACAACTGCTTACACTTTATGACAAGCTGTAAATCACCTAAATCAAAAAACGTTGAGGATATTTGTAGTTATTTTACATAGACTTGTTAACAACACCAAGTGTAATTTAACACAAAACATATCATAGACATATAAAACATATACCCCTGACGCGATTCATAATGTATGTTTTGCACAAGGACATGTGTGTAAACTTATTTGTAACGTTCTTCCTCATTTTTGATTAAGACCAATGATTCAACAACAAATAGATAAAATGACTGACTACAGAAAACGCTACCCTGTAACAGAACAATCAAATCCATTATAAAGATTACCGTGTCAAAAGTGACAGATCCTCAAAACAACCTAAGAGTACTTAGCCTCTTGAATTGACTTGTTACTAATAGCAAAAGAGAAACAGGGATAAACATAAAACTTACTGGACAATGAATATATAGTCAGGTAAACATTGGCAAACAAATATGTATACCTCACAGATAAAAGGGAAATATAATGTTCAGAAGTGGTATTTGCGAAAATACCAGCTGAGAGAACGTTTAAACTCCTGTGTTGTTAGGCGACGAATATTTCTTCTAAGGACTAGTAATTATTTCATGTTTCTATAAGGCCTTCACTTATCCCCTTTATGAAAAAACGTTGGATTTGAAAATGATTGATATGTTGTTTTCAAAAAGAGTTTTTAGTAAAACTATTAAGATATTATTTATAATTCTGCTTCTTCGATTAAATAACTCTGGTACGAGTAAAACTTCTGCGCAATTTTAATCAAGTTAAAATGAATTGTTAGTTGTCACAGGAGAAAAGAATATAGAACGAACATTTAACTTTTTTTTCTAACTGTGACCACAGAATTCAACATAAAATGAATAAGGCCGTTGGAAACTTGTTATGTTTCCCTCGCCTTAATCTTATATGGAATAGTACTTACATGTGAGATATTACTGGTAAATGTTTGTAGTTGTTGAATACATTAATTATTTATTTTGTATTTACATTGTATCATAGGTCAAATGTATTTGTTCAGTGTAGGTTCAATGGTGTTAATATGTCCTTTGATTGAATTAAGCTATTTCAGTTGATATTTTATAGTGTGTCTTTCTATGTTGTGATGTTACACTATTGTTTCAGAAAAAGGGTGAAGGTTTGGTACCATTAAAACGTTTAAACCCGCTGCATTTGTTTGCACCTGTCCTAAGTCAGGAATCTGATGTTCAGTAGTTGTCGTTTGTTGATGTGGTTCATAAGTGTTTCTCGTTTCTCGTTTTTTATATAGATTAGACCGTTGGTTTTCCCGTTTGAATGGTTTTATACTAGTAATTTGGGGGCCCTTTATAGCTTACTGTTCGGTGTGAGCCAAGGCTCCGTGTTGAAGACCGTACTGTGACCTATAATGGTTTACTTTTAAAAATTTTGACTTGGATGGAGAGTTGTCTCATTTGCACTCATACCACATCTTCTTATATCTATATAATAGTTTGTATTATATGTAAATGTTCATTTCTTTAAGTTCTTTTGCATACTTTTGTAGAAAACAAAGCCTACAGAAGGTAAGTAATGTTTTTACTTTCGATTATAACGGTATGCATCTCCATGTACATGATGTATGTTTGTAAACACGAAACTAATTTAAAAACAAGCCGGAATACATTTTTTTGTTGCATTATATAAATTTGTATAAAGCTCGATCAATGTTTTTCCATCATTTCTTACAAATAAATTAAACTAATTTTATAGATTATAATGTATCGTCATATTTGTATAAATCTGAAAGAAAACAGTCTCTGGTGGAAATATAGAAGAGGAACACAAATGTTGGTCGCAAAATTTATCTCTTTTTTCTTGTTCTTTTACGATTATTTCATGTTTGTTATACGATGTTGATCATCTTACCAAATCAGTATCAGTATTGTATGCTAAACAGCGCGGATTAAGACATATGTTTGTGGTTTTTTAAATAAAGTTTTATTCGATTGTTTGTAAAATTAATGTTTTTGAAGATAAAAATCGATTGTTTACCAGTATTTATATTTTCTTTGTTTAGGCGTAACTGCTGCGAAAACTGGCCCGTGTACAAGTGCTATGATTGCATTAAATTTTTATGTAAGGACTGTTCCAGAGAACATACTGACGAATACAAGTGTCAAAGCCACTTAATGCAACTTATCAGCGATCGTTTCATATTGAACTGTAAATTCAATTTGGAAGACGATATTAATGGTGAAAGGCTTATATGTGATATAAAGTGTTTACCCAATGGGGAGGTAGTTTTAGTGGACGAAAGTAATCAAGTAATGACCCTTTCTGTCAGTGGGAAACAAAGACATGTTATACAATTAGAAGAACATCCATGCGTAATGGATGTAGTGGACACAAATACTGTTGCGGTGTTACTGAAAAAAAACCGGAATGTCAACTATAGTGTCGCTATAGTTGACATTCAGCAAATCCATGTTAAATATATACGCGATATTGCAGTAAAATGTTGTTTAGGTTCATTTATATACGTAGAAAACCAATTATATGTTTCTGATTTATTTGGTATTACCGTTATTAATATGTCAGGAGATTTAAACAGACGTTTTGACCTAAGTTTTACGCCATATGATATGTGTTACGATGTTAATTCACAACGCATTTACTGTATCCATAGCGACAATAGTGAGCTGGTCTGTATTGGTAGAGATGGTAATAATATATTTACATTTGTTGATCCGAATTTGAGAAATCTAGGAGGTCTTGACATAGATAACGAAGGAAATGTGTTTGTGCTATGTAAAAATGCAGGTGATGATTTTGGATGTGTTATCAAGGTAGATTCTGATGGCAAGTCAAGTGACGTTGTAATTACAAATATACAATTGTTCAAGTTTTATCAGGACTCTTGTATTTGTTTCCAACATTTAACAAATTCTGTAGTAATTGGAACATATCATACAGTTTACATATATAAGAAAAAAGAAAAAAGTGTGGATATATGATGAATACAAATATGATCTGATGACGCTTCGTATGAACCATAATGATGTATGGACTTTTTGTGTGTTAAAGTCATACAATTTAACTCAGAATGCAGGTTTTTGGAATTTCGATTGGAACATGTTTTAAAAGTCAATACGTTATATATGTTCTACTTGATTTAATGATTAATCCTAAGTGAATCATAAAAGTACTTTCCGTTTAATGTATGATGTCACAATTGACAATCCCATGTGCTTTCAAAATGTTTTCAATCATCCAATTCTTGATAACCCCTTTTAGCATCAATGTAAAGGTTTCATTTAATGCCCATTTGTGTACATATTTAACATCTGATTTGCTACTTTGCATGAATTGAACTATTTGACATTTTCTTTGTCTATTTCAGTGTATGATACTAATAAAAATATTTGATATATATTGTTCCTTTTTCATTCCTAATAAATCTTCGACAAATTCAGGATCTTGATATGTTGTTATACTTTCAACGTTTGATTATTTATACATACGGTGTCATATAAAAGGATTATGCGATAGATTTAAATATAAGATGATATGAGGTATGTATCAATGAAACTGCAACACAACGACACAAACACAACTAAAATATTGATTGACTAATTTTATGATTCATTGATTTATTGAATAAATGAATGAATCAATGAAGAATGAATGAATGACATAATGACGTAATGAATGATGACGGAATGAATGAATGAATGCATGAATGAATGAATAAATGAATGAACTAATGAATGAATTTATTAAGTAATCGAATGAATGAATGAATGAATTAATAAATTAATTAATTTATTAATTAATGTATGAATGATTGATTGATAATTGTTTGTTTAACGTCTGATGGCAAACATTCATGTATATTTAGGACGAGAACACATTACAAAATTAAGGAATAGGAATGTTAAGCAAAGTAAGTCGGCTAAGATAATGGGCTAGAACTACGACTGGAATTAGGTATGTATACAACATATGTGACATAATTATTGGGCTGCTAGTCAACCTACGGACCTCTAAGAGAGTTTTGCGTGGATGTTGTAACGCCCAGAGAGCCTGGCACTTTCTCTATACGATGGATTATATTTCATGGCACTATTCTGACATCCTTCACACACAAATAAGACTCTCTATATAAGAGTTATGTATAAACACTAAAACTTCCAAATGTGTTCAACAGAACACTGCGTCTCGAATGCGATTGCTGTTGTCAGTGTAAAACTGTAAGGTCACCTTAAAAAATAAGTTCATTCATCTGTAAGTACAGAATCGTTTTTTTCTTCCGGAAAGATGCTCGTTCTTTCTTTTTTTCTAAAAAAATGTCCTGTACCAAGTCAGGAAAATGGCAATTGTTATCGTATAGTTTGTTTCTGTATCTGTTGCATTATCGTTTGTGTTTTGTTCACTACGTGTTTCTGTTGTTTTGTTGTCGAAATGTTCTTTATTGTATGTTTATTTGCGTAATTCTCTGTCCCGAATGTTCTTGCATTTATTTGTACTGCATTCCTGTCATGTAATGGTGTCATTCAAGTGTTATATTTAACATTGCCATAAAAGTGCGAGGTTTACTTAGCCACAAAACCAGGTTCAACCCACCATTTTTTCTTAAAATGTCCTGTACCAAGTCAGGAAAATGGCTATTGTTATCTTATAGTTCGTTTCTGTGTGTGTTGTTATAGTTCGTTTCTGTGTGTGTTGTTATAGTTCGTTTCTGTGTGTTTTGCATTTCAGTGTTTCTGTTGTGTCGTTTTTCTCCTCTTATAGTTGATGTGTTTCCCTCAGTTTTAGTTTGTAACCCGGATATGTTTTTTTCTCAATCGATTTATGAATTTCGAACAGCGGTATACTACTGTTGCCTTTATTGATCATGAAGATTAACTTTTGTCCAAGGTTCATAACAATCCACGAAGGTAAACATGGCGGCCGATGTGAATTGACGTACATGTATGACGACAGGTCGTGAACTTTTTGATACTGGTGTAGGGACTGAGAAAAGTGGTAGCGTATGTTACGTTTACAATATGAATGACACTTGCAAGCAATACTCTCCACAGAATTGTCATATAGTTCATATCCTAAAAGATATCTGCACCCCTGTCCGCCAAAATGTAAACAATGATGACTCGTTTGTTGGTAGCCAAGACTTTCAAGACAGTAGTCAAGGGACAAATTTTGTACCCAACCAATATTTCACTGCGATGTTAGACAAAGAACTGATAGATCTGCATAGAGAATCATATACATTCAAATTAATTGAATGACTTGGATGATATTGTAACATGGTTTAGACCTATTCTAACCTGTCGAGTTAAGTCAATACAGGGGGTGTCCGCTAGGGAAGTTAATTACGACGAAAAGTACATACAAAGGTTCATTCTCAGAAACGTATGCTAAGGAATGTTACTTATTACAACAGTTTATTTCTAGAAACCTATCTATCATTGATGAAGTTTTTTGTTAGGACGAGCCACAATCCGTAGTCGAACATTACACGATGCCGCTGAATTGTCATCTTATCGAATACAGAACAACGCTTCTTATGACTATTGATAGGTGAAACGAAGTAGAAAAGATAAGGGAAGCAAACTGTATAGTGATTGAGACATTACAGAATGAGAATGAAATGTTGAGACCAAAATGAGAAGACACAAACGAGAGACGGAGTAAGCATATTGTATTCAGCGACTGTAAATACACGCAATATGAAGCAAACTTAAAATTACTAAATCAACTATCAAGACAAATTGGAAAATTTTACTTCAGCAAAAAAAAACAGATTGACAATGAACAGATACGACACAGCAAATTTCTTCTTAATGCACAAAAGTTTTAGCGAACTGAAAATGTCTTTGTGAACAGTCGTTCGCAACTAAAGTTTACCCACACATTACCCCAGATAGCGTTCCGTTGAATTCTTCTGATAGTAAGTAAGCACCGATATAATTTACAAATGTCATCTACCGAATTAAGATGTCTAACGGTTAAGTAAGTGACTCGCAGCAATTTTACGAATGTCCTTGCAAAATTAGACGACACTACAAAAATGATGAACCTACGACGTACAGAATACCCGTTCGCTTGCAGGGTTCTACCGCTGTAGTTCAGTCTAATGTTGACATTTTCTTAATTGGTGTTTCTCGGAAAAGGTCCGGAATTGATTCGATGTCAACTAGTCCCGGAATTATGACATATTTAGAGAGAAGAAATGTGCAAGTGACATATATGTGATTTAATCCATTCGCGCAATAGTTCGCGCTATGTGTCTTCTAAGTTGAACATATCTGAAAACTGTCAGGGGTATTATGTCCTCTACTTTTTGTCTAAGTAAATTGTTGAAGGACAGTGATTGTGGTATTTATGTTATATCTTAACATAAGTTGAAAGGAATGTCTTTATATTATTTATCTACTATAGACAAAGGGTACAACTGTATAGGTGAAGCTGATGCATTACCCATAGGTAATGATGCATATCATGGTAAGGGTGGCATAGCCATTTTGTACAATGTGTAACTTCAGTTTTCCGTAAATGGAATATGTGAAATTAACTCTAGTAGAATAACTGTTATTGGACTGAAGAACCTTATGAATCTCTTTGTATCTTCTGTGCTTAC